CTAAGGGCTAAGGGGTAAAGCCACCATCAGCCTATGAATGGACCATGCTGCCATTCCCATCACTCTTCCCTCCCCACTGCCTGCACCCTCTCCTCCAGGCAGGACTGAAGCTGCTGTCAGGGGACCCCCTCTGTTTGGTCTCTCTCTCCCTCCATTTCAAACACATCCCCCTGTCCCCATCAGGACACTACATACTTCCCATTGGGGCTCCCATCCCATCCCATCCCATCCCATCCCATCCCATCCCATCCCATCCCATCTGTCTCTGTGGCCAGCTCTCCAGGGCCCCACAGGTACCAGGCACTAACATGTGGGCAGCTTGGCCGGGGATGGCTCGGTGGGACCACAGTCAGGTGCTGTGTCCTCCTGCCCGCCCTGGGGGAGCCCTGGCAGCGCACGGAGCCCAGAGCACGGTCCTTGTGCCTCGTTGCTCATTGCACAGGATCCCCCGTGTCTGCCAGCAGCTGCAGCTGGATAATGCCGGCAGCCATCTGTGTTCTGGCTCAGGAACTGAACAGTGTATTTGGAGGGAGCAAGAGCGTGCACTTGTTGTTTTAGTTGGTGTTTGGGCTGGCAGGGCTGCTGTCGATGTGGCTCAGAGAGGGACAGCTGGCAGCCTGTGCTTCCCTTCTGTGCCAGGAGCCCCGTGCCCAGCTGGATGGGGCTTAGGGTCCCCCAGCCCCTGACCCCTGTGAGAGAGGTTTGGTGACAAAGTGTGTCCTCAAGGTGCTGGCCTGCTGCTGCTGCCTATCCTGCCCTTCTGGGCAGCTGGCCCAAACTCTGCCAGTGCTTGGCAAGAGGTAGAAGCAAACCAGTGAGCTCCAGCAAGAAGTTTACTGATTCTGGGACATTTATTACATCCAGAATCTTTCAGATTCTTTATCTTTGTGGCTTTATCCCATGACTGTTGCCTTTGCTCCCCCCATTGATGAGGGAGAAGCTGTGCAGCCTTCCTCCCTGGGTACCACACTGCATAGGCTCATGCAGTGCACGTGCATGGTGCACAGTGGCATTCAGAGACCCCACAGCCTTCCAGGAGCATCTTCTAACCTCAGCCACCCTGGGTCTAGCCCAGCATCTCATTTCATTTCATGTCTTTTTGACCTGGCAACTCAATTCCCCAGCTGCCTGCATTCTTGGAGGTGCAGCCTCATGACAAAGTTCCGCATCCTCAGCAGCAAGGCCAGCAGTGTTGTCTGTGGGGCCAGTGCTTTCAGCTTGCTACTGGTCACCCAGCTGGCAGTAACCCCTCCTTCGTGCCTTTCCTGCCAGCTAGAGCACCCAGCTGCTTTACCAGCTGTTTCCAGTTTATCCCAGGAAGTTGTCCCATAGCCCAGAGCTGAAGTGAACGAGTGGAAGATCAGGCATTTGGACAAAGTCTTCCCCCCACGCACTGTTTGTCCCTTGCTGTGCATGAAAGCAAGAGAAGGACTTGCAGAATACAGCTGGTGGGTGGAGCAGTCCCCTCTGCCCTGGCAGCTGATCCCATCGAGGCATTTTTAAGTGTGTGATGGCAGCTCTGTGAGCTGGGGCTCGTGACCGCCAGGCTGCGAGGCAGGGGAGGTGCGGCCGCAGCGCCCTGCGCTGGGCCAGCAAGGGAAGTCCCGGTGGAAGCAGGGTTTTTTATCTGGGCTGCCTGGGCCCAGCCTTTGAATGCTTGGAAATGCTCTTCTCCAGATGTTTCCTAGCACACGCCGGCTCTGTTTATAAACAGCTCCTCAAAGCAAAGCCTGTTGGGGCTGCAGGCGGGTGCTCGTGGCAGCAGCCCCGCACGGCTCCCCAGCACCATGCCATGGGGTCTGGGGCCACAGGTCACCTCTTTTCCCTCCCATCTAGAGGGGTCAGGGTGGTTAACAAAAGCCAAAAATGCCTCCTCTTCCTTTCCCCTCCCCTTCTGGCTAGCAGCTTCCTGCCCCGATGCATCCTCGTGGTGACCGGCCTCTCTGGGCTGCCTTCCTGCCCAGGCTTTCACTGCTAGGGGCACAGAGAGGAGGGCACCCTGGAGCCAAGGCTGCTGGCACACTGCCCTGCCTGAACTGCCTGTTCCAGGGGAGATCCCAGCCACTCCAGGGGCTTGGGCCAGGGAGATATTTCCATTGCAGCTGGGGCTCAATTCCTTGGTGATTGTCTCAGGGACACATCCTGACAGCACACTCATCAAGCCCCTTGGGTTTTCTCCCCCATGTTTTGCCAAAATTTGAGGCGGGTACCAAGGGGTGATGCCGAGCAGGACAGAGTGGTGTGGAGTGCAGGCTGGAGTAGCTGTTTGGCTGGTTGTGCTTCCCCAGATCCATCACCTCCAAAGAGAACAATGCTCTCCTAGGCACCACTCCTTCAACTTCCGGCTGGGTGCAGGTGCCTTTCAGCCACACTTTTCTCTGTCCTGGCCCCTGCAGGACAGCGCCAAACCCCTCTGTTAGAAGGACAAAAGCCAAGAAAAATCCAGGGTAAACAGCTGCTGCCAGCAGCCCTGCCAGAACACCTTTCCCTTGGTTGGCCTGAGCCCAGCACTGGCAAGGCTGTCGTGCAGGGCTGTGAGCAAGTTCCCGAACCATCGGCACTGCGGAGCCACCCACAGCTCATCACATCCTGGATCTCACCTCAGCACTGCTCCCTGGGGATGGCCCTATCCTCCCTTCCAGCCCCACTCCCCTGCGATCCCCAGGCACGGGCGGGAGGAGGACGGCCCTGTCACGCCAGCACTGGGAGGAAGGGTGGAACAATTGCTGCTTGTCAGTCTGTCTCCTCTTCCTGCAGAAAAGGGCACATTGCTACTTTCTTGTTATCAGCCTTCAACGAGTAATCTGCTGGGGAAAGGCATTGCTGGAAAATTGAGTCATTTGATACAGATCTTGCTTTTGCTCTGCCATGGCCTGGCAATGCTGAGGGCTTGGTTGCTTGCATTTTCCTTATCCTGGGTGCTTGCAGTGGCTGTAATCTCATCTCTTAGCTTGGCCAGCGTGTGTTTGGAGGTGAGAACATCAAAAGAGTCAGCTTCACTGCTGTGGAGCTGGAAAGGTGCCCCACTCTGCAGCACTGCTCACCCTCTGCCTCCTGTCTGCTTCCAACTTAACTTTTTGGGCATGGGAATGGCTTTCTAGGCACTGCTAGGCAGAAGCAGAGAGAGCAGAGTATGCAGAGGTGAGCTTGAGCCAGTTGTGTTCAGATTCTTGGACCTGAGCACCTCAGGAGGCTGATTGGTGCACAGATGGGGCTTGCTCTGCAGGCTGAGCTTCCCTCTAATGCTGCATTGGGAGTGCTTTGCCTTGCAACTCGTGGATGCTCAGGAGCATCCATGAGTAGTCTTTGCCTCTCCCCAAGACACAACTGCTCTTTGCAGAGGCAGAGCCCTTTTTTCCCTTCCCTGCCCCTTAGATCCAACAAGCGCTGCTGCCCATGGGATCCAACGAGGCAGCCCATCCTCCAGTCCCCTTTCCCAGGAAGCATGGATATGACTGCCCAGAAACTGAGCTCTCCTTCTGTGGAAAACTGGCACTTGGAAAAACCCTTTCCATTCTGAATCAGGTGAAAGGGAGTGGTGTAAAGACCCTTAATGAAACAGGAAATATCAGTGCTTTGAATCTAAAGCATCTAAAGGAAAGTTGTAAGGAAGTGATGCTGCATGATGGTTGTGGTTCTCCAGATCAGGAAATAAAAAATATGTTCACAGTTTACATCATTAACGAGGCCACTTTAAACCTTTGGGTTCTAAATCTGCACCATCTACCAACAAATTCTCGTTGCCTGGAACTGCATGGAAACTTTGGTCGGTGTCTGACAGATTCAAAGAGGAACCAGTGGCAGGCTTGGCTTCTTCTTTCTAACAGTGTTTCTCCTTGACATCTTCACAGCAAGGTGTAAAAGAACCTTGCTGTAACTTTCCCTTAAGTGTGAGGGCTGGAAGGAGATGGCAGTGCTGGCAGCCCTGAATTGTCAGATGGTGGTGGGGGTCATAGGTCCCTCCTGCCCTCCTCGAAACCGCAGGCTTGGACAGCTCTCAGGTGCTCAGCTTTGCAGCAGAGGATGCTGCTTGAGGGGAAGAAGATTTTCAGACTGAGTGGGAGTGATTTTTGGGGACAGATTCAACCCCAGGTAGTTGGGTAATAGCATGGGATGAATTCAATTCCTGCAAGTGGGAGCAACCAGTGTATGTATGGTGAGGTGTATTCACTGCCCCAGGGCTGAGGAAGGAGCCAAAAACATTTTTGGGCTGCTTGCTCAGGTAATCAAAATTTTTCCCATTTGAATCCACCTCTGCAGTTAGTTTTATTTACTGCTAGACTTGCACCACTCTCTTCTCCTTGGCAGCTGGAAATTAGCTGGTGAAGATTGCGTCTGCCAGAGCTGCTATAGCTGAACCTTCCCAGGGCTGCAAGTGCTGAAGGCACTGCTTGTTTAGCTAATGAGATGTTGCCACTGGATTTCTCTTTTTATTTTTATTTTGAAGAAGTATTTCTGACACTCAGATATATTTCAAGTCTTCTAATTGCACAGCCTCAGACTGAGGCCCATCTTTGATCCGGAGTTTCCCCATAATCAAATAATAATAATGCTGTCAACTCTGCTCTTGAGATCCCATTAACTGCAGGCCTTGCAGTTCTGGTGTGTACCAGCCATGGGGACACTCCTGGTGGTTCACCCCAGACACTGGGGATGTGGTTTTGTCTCCCCACACAGCCGTGTGAGCAGTCACACGATCCTGTGTCCAGCTGGCTCACCAGAACGATGCTGGTAGAAACAAAACGGGCTTTAGGATGTGGTAAACAACGTGGTTTGAGGTCTGGGCAATATCCTGTGCAGGGGGACGGAGAGAAAGGCAGCCCACAAAGCAGTGGTTTCTCCGAGAGGCTGGGTGCCTCCAGACAGAAGACAGGCACTGCAAGATCCCTTGGGTGGGTGGTAGATCCTGTGCTGTGATCCAGACCTGCCCAGACTTGAGGTAGCTGCTCTTCAGGCTGCGCTCCCTGACTCCCCTGTTCCTGTTTTTCCTCTCTTTCCAGGCACACCTTCTGGCAGTATCGCCGCGAGAACCCCCAAACCAAAGTGGGGGAGCCCCCTCCTGATGGGCTGCCAGGCTTCAACAGTGGTGTCCTGCTCCTGAACCTGGAAGCCATGAGGCAGTCCAAGCTCTACAACCAGCTGCTGGAGCCCACCATGGTGCAGAAGCTGACAGAGAAGTACCACTTCAAGGGCCACCTTGGGGACCAGGATTTCTTCACTATGGTGGGGATGGAGCACCCAGAGCTTTTCCATGTGCTTGACTGCACATGGAACCGGCAGCTTTGCACGTGGTGGAGGGACCATGGATACAGCGACGTGTTTGACCAGTACTTCCAGTGCAAGGGTGAGGTCAAAATTTACCATGGGAACTGCAACACCCCAATCCCTGAAGACTAGAACACCCACCACCCCTGGGAGCAGCTCTGACTGCAAAAGCCTTAGTGGCTGCACCAGCAGTCCCTCGGGAAGGGTGACCTGTTGCATCCCAGGGGAATCTCTGGGGATCCCAAGAGCGTTCAGTATCCCACAGCCTGTAACCTCATCCCTTCAGGAGTTCAGTTGCTGGAGCAGGATATCCACAGTCACTCTGTCCAGATTAGCTCCTGGCTCTACTTGGGGCAAGTCCATGGTGCCTCTCTGTGCCACAGCTGCTGGGACATGGGGACAGCCAAGGGGCCATCAGAGCCTGCTGCCTTTGCCCATGGCAGGGTGCAGCTCCCTGGGTGCTGTGCAGCCTTACCTTGGACGGTCAGCAGGAGCCCACAGCAGGCACTTGGATTTTGTTTGTCGTTCCTCAGTGGCCCATTTCTGCACCTCATGCAGAGCACTGGTCTGGTCCCTCCGGAGAGCAGACACCGTCCTCAGGTCATCTTCCTTTCTAAGCATTCCAGAAAGGCAAGAAGGCTTTAAAGACTGAAAAACTGCTTTAAATTGGGTTACTTACAAACAAAAATTGAACGCTAGATGAGCTTTAAAGCCGTCCATTGGTTCTTCTTAGCAATAAAAGCTTTACTGCCTTGTCCTAGAAGCGTTCAGTGAGCGTGTACCAGTACATTCATTTTTCTAGCTTTGCCTCTAACCTTTTGTACAGAAATAAAGCTGCAGATGTCAGACCTGCTCGGCTGTTTTTTATGGCACAACTGAAGTCCTGTGCAATAGGAGGTTTCCTGCTTTTATCATGATTAAAAAGTAGCTGATGTGTATCTGCTGGGCAGTTGAATGTGCTGCCCCACATAGCTTATCCCACATCTGTTCCACCCAAGTGATGCAAATAAACTGGCTGGCATACAAGCTGGATTTTTAAAGATCATCACCACCATAGCTGGGGTAGGTCTGGAAGGAGCTGGGAACTGCCTGTGCTGTAAATGAGCCTCAGGCATGAGCATCCTGTTCCCTAAGTAAATGCTGCCTCAGTGAGCCCGGCCAGCAGGAGTGAGCTCCTGCACAGGTCTCTGTCAGGAAGGTGCACAGCACATTAACCCACCTCCAGCCTGGCTTTTACACCCAGCCTGCATGTGCCTGTGTGTGTCAGTGTGTGCATCTGTGTGATATGCACGTGCAAGAGAGAGGGATGGGGACCTAATTATGGCTTAACCTAAAAATGGTGCACACCGTGTCTGGCAGGAGTGTCCTGGGCTCCTTCCCCTGTGCCCATGAATGAACTTATCATTACTGAGGGAGAGGCTCTTCTCCCTCGAACTGATGTGCAGAGTCATGAGGCTGTGGTAGGGCTGCAGCCTGACCCTGCCCTCTCTGATGTGCTGAACCAATCCCTTTCCAAATAGCACAAAAGCTCTGCTTTGAGTATTTTCACATCCCTGGGGAAGGAACAGCAAAGAGGGGATTAAAGGTGAGGGAAAGAAGCAGTACCCTGCTGTGTTAGACTCACATTTTCACCAAAAAACAAGGTGATCCAGCCTTGCTGTGCAAGGCAAGGAAGCCCCCCAGGGTGCTGGTGGGCAGGATTTAGGGTGGGAGATGCACCAGGATGATGCACCCTGAAGGACAAGGGGAGTTTGAAAGTGCCTCAGGTGGCCAGAGCTGCTGCTGTGCCCAGAGAGCACATGCTGTCCTGGGAAGGGGACTTTGCTCTGTTGGTGCCCACTCTCATTTACGAGTGAGCTGGGCAGGGACATTTCCATGTTCTGCAGCCAGGAGCCACCCACCTCCCCTCTGTCCTGGTAGTGCCACACTGCTGTCTTGTGCTTGCTGGGCAGTTTCACAGTCCCATAGTTGGCACTGGTGCTTTGTCACCATCCTGACATGTCCTGGGGCCCCTGCAATTGCCCTGAGCAGCTCCTGGAGTGCCCCATGTTCGCAGTCCCTGCCGTAGTTGGGATGCTGCTGCAAGGACTCAGCCCTGCTCTGGCTGGTCAGGGCACATGGGTGGCACCAGTGACACACAGGGCCTCACATGCCAGGGTGGGACCTTGCCATCAATTTGGAAATGGCCATGCTGGAAATACAGGCCAGGTGGCTTGTGTCACTAGCACTGGGGAGTGGTGGGGTGATGGGCAAACAGGGCTTTACCAGTGGCTGAGCAGCTTTGGGGTGGCTGTGGATGTCAGGGCTGGCCAAAAAGCACCACGGTGGGTGCCACAGGGTGACACCTTGGGAGCCAGGGCTGCATGGGGCCAGGTGCCCCCCTGCCCCACAGCCACCCCTGGAGCTGGACCAGGTGTTAGGCATCCTCCACCTGAAGACAACAGGGATGCTTGCCACAGTGCTGGGAGCACTTTTCCCTCTCCGTGGGGTTCCAGGGGCTGTGATGGGGGTACACCTACCATTGTGGCCCCAGGCTGGAACCTTTTGTTGAGGTATTTTTCCAAAAATAAAGTCCTTTTTTTTTTTTCATTTTTTTCAGAATGGCAGTCCACTGGGAAACTCACTGCATTTTTTCAGCTATGAAAACCGTAGTTAAGTGAAACATTTAATTCAGCTTCGATGGTTTTCCCCAGGCACCACAGACAGCCCAGTGGCACAGCTCCCACACAGCAGTGCCTGCCCCATCCAGACCCACATGGTCCCCAGGGCTGTGACTAAGCACCGCAGGCAGCACGGACCCGCACGGTGCTATATATAGACCCTGCACGTAGCCAGAGCCGTGCTGCCTGTGTAATTATCTCCCCTTCATGCCCTGCTGATTGCAGGCACTAATGAGCTCAGCTGCAGAAACCGCAGTGGCAGCCTGGGGCTGCCAGCTCAGCCTTTTCGGAGGGTGCTGCCACAGGGGCTGCTTTGGGGCAGAAGCAGAGATTGCTGTGCTTGGCCAGAGTGGCAGCATCCCTGAGGGCACCGCCTGCTCAGGAGCCTTCACCCCCCACAGGCAGTTCCTGCACTAAGTGCCCAGCCAGCTGGTGACTGCTGGGCCATCCCATGCCTTTCCTTCAGTGGTAATTCCTGGAAGAATAGGGACTTTCCATCCCCATCCTTCCTTGCCCTCCAGCACTGTCCTCAGGCATATGCTGCTCCAGGCGCAAAAGCTCAGACCCGAGCATCCCCTCCTGGTCCCTGTGACGATGGCCTGTGGCCATGGCAGCCAGCACCAGCAGCTGCCAGCACAGGCACAGTGAGAGATGCCCAGGAAGCATTGAGCAGCACCGGTTTGCCCGTAGGCACTGGGGGTTTGCTGCAATGACCCTGCGGCAGCAGCACTGGGACTGACAGGCAGCTCCTGGTCCCCAGGGCACCATGTCCTTGGGCCAGCGGTGGTCCCCTGCCTAAGAAGGGGCCTCTGCAGACTCCAGAGCCTAGTTATGGGTTGGTTGGAGCCCCTCTGGAGATGTGGCAGGCTAAAGGCAACCCTGGGTGAGTGGCAGGTGGGGACACGCTGCTGTGACACACAGTGCTGGGGGCACACAGCTGTGGGGAGCAGGAGACCAGTCCCACCAGCACAGGCTGGTGGCAAGGGATGGGACCATGCCCCACTGGCCATGGGCCTTACACCCGTGGGAGAGCTGCAGTGGCCCCAGCCAGGGCCTGTGGAAGGGCACAGAACTCCTCCATCATGCCTGTTGGCTTCCTGCTCCTTGTCTTCTCACCTGCTGGCTCACAGCAAAGTACTACTCATGTCAAAAGCCCCGTGTTTTTCCAGGATGGAGAAGGAGATGGGAGAGCAAAGGGGTCTCCTTGAACTCTTTGTAGAAGACCAGGCTGTGGAAAGCAGCTCTGTAGCTTGAGCTTTAGGAGAAAATTCAAGTTCTTGTATCATTCAGCATTTGTGAGAAATTGCATATAGAACAAACAGTATCCCTGATTTTCTGTCCACCGTGCTGGAGCTGCCTGTGATTTTTGCTCTCCTCTCTTGCATTTCATAACACCATCAGTGTTTATTCTCTTACTCATTTGTACTTCATTCCCATTTGAAACGATCAATTGTTGGTATAAACTCACCTAGGGAGCAATTACTATGAGCCTAACCCAAACAGGCTCTGGGGTGCTCCATTAAGCAATATCACCACCCTCCCTCTCTGCTGATCCCAGAGGATACAATATTTGCTTTTCAGCTCTCTGCTATTCATACCCAGCGCACTTGGGTCAGTGTGCCAAGAATAACACAAACCTTAACAACGGGCTTCAGCGCTAAGATGGAGTTCCTGACTTTGCGAAACAAAACAAAACAAAAAAATAAAAAGCCAACCTATTATTTTGCCTTTGCTGAGAAATGCCTGGCAGCAGCAGAGCAGGCGGGTGCCAGAACCACCCCTCTGCCTTGGGGTGGTGAAATCTGCCCTGATGGACACAAAGAGGCAAAAGAAAAAGAGCAGTAAGCCTGGGACACAGGTCAGCAACTGCTGGCTTTTCCTTTTAATGCAGATTTTTACTAGGTTGCTGCATTGTTTTTTGAGCTTTTCCTCAAAAGCTTTGCAGAACCATGGAGGGACATATTCCCAAGCACCTGTAAATATTTCAGCCAGGCTTTCAGTAGCTCTGTCTCTGACCATCATGAGCCTCTGTGGCTTTAATTACTAATTGCAAAGAAATTGCTGCCCAGTCCTGTTAGCCTTTCAGTGCCGTCAGGATTCACTTTGTGCAGTTCTCCTCTGGAAATTATTTATTCACCAATCAGCTGCTGACCAGGGGGAGCGCTTGGAGCAAATTACCTTCCTGTGGTATTTCATTGGCATTAGCTGTATTGTATCTAAAGCCTCAGTGTTAATTTAGACAATTTGCCTATCTGAAGGAAAAGCTGAAAGAAAGCAGAGTCTGGAGCTGCCAGAATGAGCTGCAGGTCTGGCCCTGCTGGAGGCTTTGGCATTGCCCACCAGTGAGAGGATGCTCAGCAGTTTACAGGGCATTCCTGAGAGCCAGATGTGTCTGTCCTGGGGTGTTCCTAAGAGCCAGATGTGGTTTTCCTGGGGCAGATGTTGCCGTTGCAGCAGGTAGGAAACCACACCTTGGGGCTTCAATTCCCTTCCGAACACATGGGCACCTTCAAACTCTTTCTCCTGGCTCATTCCTGATGGATTTGGCATCCTGTAGCCCTGGCAAGGCTCTTATCCTCAGTGCCATCCTTCACCAGCAGAGCCCCAGTGACAGCTTCTCCTCCTGCTCCTGCTCAGCCATCGTTTAGCAGCAATTTATGACCCTGCTGGTGACAATCCTAAAGCTGTGCAAGCCACAGGCTGCAGGCAGAGACCTGCTTACAGAAGGCACTGCATGGAGTGTCTCCATTTATCACCTACAGATGTCTTGCTCTTAGTGCATTTTGCGGCTGTTGAAAGGTTTGGGGCCTTTGTCACAACACATCCCCTCCTTGGAGCTGGTCAGGATAAACAGACACTTTCAGATCCTAAGGACAGTATCAGTTTAGGGAATAAATTGCTTATGGATGCCCTGTGGCACATGGCGGTCTGGGCAGTGTGTCAGAAAGAAAAGGTGTAATTTTTTTTCCTGCATGCTTCTTCCTTTCAAACTCATTTTTTTTCTGTGCTGGAGGACTTCTCTGGCTGCCTTGGGAACACAGCAAAGACGTGCCCTTCCAGCATAATCTGCCAAGCTCAAAGGAGAGGGAAATTTTATACAGAGTGCTTAAGAACACCAGCAGCAATAGGGAGAAAAGTGAATGGGCATGTGGGATTGAGCCCCTCAGCTGTGGAATGGGGGCTTGGAG